AGCACAATGTACCATCAGCTATAGATGAATACAAATCCCAGCAATACATTATACACTGTATGTATAATGTATTGCTGGGATTTGTTGTATTCCTCTATAGATGGTGGTATTCTGCATTGCGCTGTATAGGGGACAAATCAAGGAATAATACATTATACAGCGCAATGCGGAATACCACCACCTATAGAGGACTACAACAAATCCCAGCACTAATACATTATACACTGGTGCAATGCCGAATACCACTAGCTATAGAGGACTACAAAACCCAGCAATTGTACATTATACAGCGCAATGCAGAATACCGCCAGCTATAATGTACTATTGCTGGGATTTGTAGTCCTCTATAGCCGGTGCAATTCTGCATTCATTGCTGTATAATTTTTACACTTTTCATTTCACTATATTGCTCACCACACTTTTTTTTTTCTTTTTTACTTCCACCGCTCCTGTGATGGACTGCAATCTCAATACAAACTAGTACTCCCATCACTGGAGCCATTTTTTAAAATGTATTTTATTTTTTATCCGATTAATCGAACTTAATAATCGGCTAACTAATCGATTTTGAAAATAATCATTAGCTGCAGCTCTAATAACAATAAACTGATGAGTAAAATCGTTTTAAGCGTCGCCTATGGGCGTTTTTTGCGGGCGCACACAATTTTAAGGCTTGACATGTATGGTGTCTATTTACCCGACGTGACCCCGCCTTTTATAAGTTTACCAAAAATATGGGTAAGAATAAATGTTTTATAACAATGTAGGGAAACTTTTTTTTTTACATTTACGGTACTTTTTATCTGTCCCCAAAAAATGTTCACATAAATTGCAAGGCTATAGTCCGGTCATGCTGACTGGTGACATTTTCGACTGACTGGTGAGACACCCTAAAATTTTTCAAGATATATATATCTATATATATGTAGATATATCTAGATCGAGATATATATAGACATATATATATCTCGATCTAGATATATCTCGATCGATAGATAGATAGGATAGATAGATCTATCTATATACACACACACACACACACACAAAGACACATACATACATACATACATACACACACACGCACAAAGTAGCATATACAAAAGACTGAGATTTTATAGCGTTTTAAAAGGTGCCCATACACCGTACGATTATCGTATGCGATCGACTTTTTGTACGACAATCGTATAGAGTGCCCGACCGATAGTACTGTACAATCGTACGACTTTTGACGGTCAAGCATGTTTGAAAACTTTGGTCGATTGTACGATGTTCGCATGGTTGGTGGCGTTTCCGTCCGTCAAAAGTCGTACGATTAACACTGCGCATGCGCAAATGAAAAAAATGGCGGTCAATTACCGCTTGTCGCCCAGGTTTTTTTTTTTAAACTACCGCTGATTGAACCTTTTGATAATCGGGGCAGGATGGGGCCGTCGTACGAGTTTCGTCCGATAATCGTAAGGTGTATGGGCACCTTTATAGAAAATCCACATTATTATATAAAAGGTTAAATAGAATGTTTATTTTGGGGGAGGTATATGGACTCAAGATCGTGTATCTACATAAGAACAAATGTGCATAACGGATATAAATAAGATAATAAAACAATAAAGAAATAATATATATTATTAGGGTGGTCTATATGCATAACAAGAAGGAATTGAATCAAATAATCTAATCAATAAATATTATTTTATAACTATAAAGAATACAAATCGAATAATAATGTAATAAATAAATAAAATCAATAGAGCCAAGTCTTATTTAAGGCATGGGCAAATTTGTTGGTACACTTTCAGCTCATTGAAGCAATTGTCTCATGTATACCTGCATGCCTTTGGTATGTCAAAGCAAGGCAAAGAAAGTTTAAAAAAAAAAAAGAAAAAAATTATTGTTTACTCTACAAACATTTTAATGGCCTGTGAAAATGTGTTGGTCTCCCTAGAACAGATTATAAAATCATTTGGATCATAGTGATATTTCAAAACCAACTATTTTCTGTAATTAGTAGCACATATATCATCAATCTTGTACCCAGCCAGCCTACTTAAATAGAGAAAGCAGTCAGTCACTCTGCCATTTGGTACCAGAAAGTTGTCTGAGGAGATCAGAAATAAATATAGATCAGCATGTCAAAAATTAAGGATAAGACCATCTACAAGTAGCTTGATGGTCCTGTGACTACAGTCAGGGCCGGATTTACTCTCTCTGCTGCCCCAAGGCCAGGTTCCTCAATGCGCCCTCCTACCCCCTCCCCCCCCCCCCTCAGACTACAGTTGCTGGATTTGACCCCGGATTGAACAAAAGGATGATGTAAATGGTAGACAATGAGACATGGAGAACTTTTCGGAGAGATATAAGCTGAACTCCAAGGTCAAGGTACCTCAGTGTCTGATCACACCCTCCAATGCTTTTTGAGCGATACGGCTCAAAGGAAGATTCCACATTTGAAAAAAAGAAAAAAAACACAACAACATAAAAGAAAGACTTGAAATAGATAAGAATGCATACTGACAAGCCATAATGCTTCTGGGAGAATGTCCTTTTCGACAGATGATAAAAAACTGGAGATTTTTGGCAAGTCAACAGCTATGTTCACAGATGAAAAGAACATCATACCTACTGTGGTGAAAGCTTGGTTGTGTTTTTGGGATGCTTTTCTGCATCTGGCATAGAATGACTTCAATCTGTGCCGGGTACAATAAAATCTTAAAACTAGCAAGAAATTCTGCCGCACGGCCCCATTGATTTCAAAAGGGGTTACATCCACGTGGCAATCGCTAAAAAAAGGTACATGTACCTATTTGTGCGACATGCAACGTGCAGGTTTTTCAACCGTAAGTCCACGACCGTAATCGCGACGGAAAACCGCACGATCTGCCTGGTGCGACTAGGGAGCCATTAGCAAATAATGGCAATGCCAGCGCAATCAGCGGTGGTGTGCGACTCCAACCGCACAGCCATCCATGCAGTTTTGTGCACGATTGGCGTGTGGTCACGGATCGCCTAAGTGTGAACCTGGCCTGACATATAATGAATATAGTATGTGGCCACTTGCGGATGTCAAGGGCTGCACCTAAAGTCTCATATCTAGCAAATCGATCACTATTGGCATAGATGCTCATAACCCTATATTTAGCTCCACACGTGGATTTCACTTTGTTTCTGTTGAACATGGTAAGGGTATGTACACACCAGCAGCTGCGCTCAACCGCATAGCTGCTGGTGTGCGTGCCCCTGATCAGTGCCGTTGCGCTAAATTGAGCCGCATCGCACTGTTTGCTTTTTTTTTTTTCTGTAAAACTTATTGAAATGTCACAAAGTGACATTTCATTCAGTTCTATGGGGGACACCACAGTGCAATGTGTTTGTACCACGTCTCAATGTGGTGCGCTTACTGCATGCTGTACTTTTTCTAAGTGCCAATATCTCTGGAAGAAAACAAAGATTTGACGTGACAAGACGCTCATGAGCAGATAAATAAGGACCACGCTTAAGCCGAGGCTCCCCGCCCTACTAGGCCAAGTCAAGAAGGTACTCCAGCCCCCAGCAGCGGATCGACAACTGAGCAACCTCTAATAAGTGGGGGGTTGAGCCACCAACAGGGGTCGCACCCAGGGCTGTGCATTGTGGTTTTATACTGCCTAGCGTCCTACTCCTGCAAGTGGCATATAACCCTTCCGTAAAATGAAGATTCAGGTGTGTCCTTCAATTAACAGAAGAGAAATACTTATGTTCTCTCTCCTATAAATAACACCTCCATTAGATGTGACGACGCCAAGGGACTGCCCATTACCAGAATGGAAGGAAGGGAGGGGGATCAGGTAAGTATATCAGCTTTATGTGAGCCCCCCAGACAAAAAGAACATTAAGGGCTAGTTCACACCATAACTGTGTGCGTCTGCGCAGCTGCAGTGCAGTGTTTTTACCACAACTTTGACGAGTTATTATTTTTTAGCTTAAAATGAGCTTTCAGGTGCAGTCCAGTGCTTTTGCATGCATTTTTGCTGCATCCCATTGCGATCAGGTGCAGCTAAAATGAGACAAGCAGTATTTTTTTCTGACTGCATCAGAACGGACCGCACTTTTATGCACAGAGCCCCAGACATCCCATAGGAAAGCATTGTGATGCATTCTGCATCTGGTGTGAGCTAGCCCTTAACCCTAGCAGTGCAGGTGTAGCCCCACAGCAAAGGTAAGTTTCTTGTTTTCCCGCTTGTGCAGTTTTTCTTTAAGAAACCCTTATCCACAAGATGCCAAACAAACAGGAAATAGAACAGAACATACAATTTGACAAATACATGCAGCGTGCGTAAAAATAACATGCTAGTGCTGTTGAATATTTGTGAAAGGCAGGGCCACGGAATGTGACAAAGTGCTAAGCTGAGTGTACCGTGTGTCGGTCTAATGTTTACATATCCTCACCGCTCATAAGACGGCCGGAGCTTCATACTGTCCCGTGAAGCAATGAGCGCAGCAGTCCATGTCCGCCTCTATAACACTCCCCAACACAAGACAAGGCCCCGGCTCAGCTCACAAGTGCTACGCTCTCCCTCAGATTCCGGGTTCTTCGGCCCTGACCTTCTACAGCAGACCACGGCAACAACGTCACGGCTAAGGCGGAGTGTACTTCAGTCTAGTCCGCCGCTGCACGTCATGACGGGAATAACCTGTGTGCGTGGTTGCTAAAGGAAGGGATGGCTGGCGTCCCCGGACCCTAGCAACCGAGTCTTCCATCACCCAGGTAAGTAGTGACTTCTCTACCGTACACGGGACACTTCCCACGGCTGCCTCCGTCTTATTAGACGTACTGCGCCATTGCTTCGGTGTGCTGCACTGGAGGTGCCTGATAGCATTATTTTTAATGTTACAGCGGGACTTCGAATAAAACAAATGCTGGCAGGAAGGATTAATGGAAGAGATATACATACCTGGGAACTGTTGAAAATGTCAATTCCTGAGTATGGGGGTGGATTGGTGGGCGGAACTAAACATGGCATGCTATGGGGGACTTATTAAAGCAGAACTCCGGGCAAAACTTTGATTAACCCTTGTAGTGGGGCTACCCCAGCACTGCAAGGGTTAACGGCTCATTTTTATTTTTTTTCCAACTCCCAAACCGTGGAGTTGGCTTGCTCTAGAGCTGGCCATAAACCTATAAATTATCTGCAGATTTTCTATGGTCAGATGGGAAAAGTGAACAGGTTCCTCCATCTATGCTAAACTGTGTGGATGGAGTAATCTCCACCTGGGCCAAGCCTCAGTATCTTGCTAGTCGTCCCCACTGGCTCTCAAAATACCTGAACAATGCCTGCATCCAATCAGATTGTTCAGGTATATTGACAGCCAGCGGAGCCGACTAGCAAGATACTGAAGCTTGGCCCAGGGGGAGATTCCTCCATCCACACAGCTTGGCATAGATGGAGGAATCTGTTCACTTTTTCCATCTGACAATAGAAAATCTAGAAAATCTGCAGGTAATCTATAGGTGTATGGCCAGCTTTACAGTAATAAGTCTGCAGTAGAAGGTTCAGTTGGACTTTACCAGTACATTTTTACTCAATAACTGCCCTCTGTCACTTAGAAATGTCAAATACTTATGTACATACATTATTTGTAGATTCTAGCTCTACCTTTAATAGCAGGGACCAGGGGTAGGCAAACTCCAGCCGTAGTTCAACTACAAATCGCAATAGTCATTGCAAGACTCTGACAGCCACTGGCATGATTCCGAAAGGCAGATGCATGATGGGATTTGTAGTGTCACCACAGCGGGAGGGCCGGAGTTTGCCTACCCTTAGCATAGACCCTAATAAGTTGTATAGGAAGTTGCAGACATTAAATATAGATCTTGCATTATGTTTGTGGATTAGGGATTTTTTGATGAATAGGCCTCAATCAGTGTTGATGGGTAATTTTTTTTAACTACCTCCCGGCCAGCCGCTGTGTATACACGGCCTGCCGGGAGCTTCTTGGATGTAAACAACAAGTTTTATTAAGGTTTTCCTAATAATAACACAAAAAACCCCAAAAGGATAGGTAGAACAGTATCCAATTTTGGGTACATATAATGGCAGTAGGAATAATACAAAGATCAGACGGCACAGCAATACAGCTATTTCCAAAGACATCAATAAGAGTACAGTCTTCTTGGGATAGAAACAGGAATATAATGCATCAAAGATCATACTGATGTACACAAAAAGGTAAATAGACTTCAATGGGAGAGGCGTAAGGAAGGACAAGGTCTCACTGAGACTAAGGATATCAAAGAGTGGATAGTTCCCTATGATGACGCAAGAGGGAAGATGTAAACAGCGAGACACAAAGATAATAATATGATGTCGGGATCAGCATGCGTATAACTAAGAGTTTGCATATTGAAATCAGGTAGGAAGGGTCAAGCATCTGGCATCTGCCAGCCAACAGGCCCATTGTGAAGAGAAAATATGAATATTAAAATAGTTGATGGGTAATTTTGTCTCAGCCAGTGCTATCATGAATACAGCAGTACTGCAAGGCTGTGTTCTTCGTCCACTTTTGTATGCTCTCTTTACTCACGGTTTTCAGGCCTTGTGATTACATTTGTGGACGACACTGCTATGGTGGGATTAATATCTGACCATAATGAGAGTCGTTATATAGACGAAGTGGAGTCACTAGTACTGCGGTGTCGGAATTATGACTTGCAGCTGAATATTAGGAAAGCTGAAATTATTGTAGATTTTAGAAATAATAAGGATATTGTATATTTGTATTAATATGTATAAACTTTAAATAAAGAATATAAAAAAAAAGAAATAATAAGGAAACATGTTATGGTGAATTAAGCATAGATGGGGAGGAGGTGGAACAAGTGGCTAGTATGGGAGTGCATTTAGCCATGGAATTTCCTGGAGTGTACATATATCTCCCGTGGTGGTGAATGCTCAGAAGCGTTTCTTTTTTCGAAGGATTCTGTGGCAACATGGACTCCCTAAGTACTTGATGGTAAACTTCTGTCATAGCTCAATTAAGAGTATATTGACACATTGCTATACTGTTTGGTATTCTAGTTGTACGGGGGCAGAGCGGAGGAGTTTGCTTCAGGTACTGAGGACAGCTGAATGGATTTTGGGTTCTTCGCTACCTGACTTGAGAGATGTCTATTCAGACCAACTTTTAAAACAGGCTTTAAAGATCAGGAATGATTGTACGCACCCTGGAAATCATTTGTTCACATTGCCTACTTCTGGTAGATTGCGTAAACTATTGACACAAACACATTGGTAGGGTAATAGTTTTTTTTCCGCAGGCAGTAAATAGTTGTTTTTTTAATTTTTATTTAGAGGGATAGGTTGGGAATTTGGGTGGTTTGTGTTTGAATTGTACCTGCCAAGTAAGGAGTATTTATAATATTTGTTTTATAAAGGTATTTGAAGTTGCTTTGAAAATTGTATGTTTTTAAATGTTATATATCATCAAGTTGGGTTTTAGTAAAATGATGTTTCATTTTATTCAGTTGTAGGCTTCATTCACACAGGAGTGCTTGTCCACGCGTATTCGGCCGGCCGAATAAACGCAAAGCCGCTCTAAACAGAAAAAACAATGCACTTTAATGTGCCTTGTTCAGACTTTTGCGGGGGCCACGCGGTGTGAAACCGCATGTCCCGCAAAATAGTCCAAGCGTGAATTTTTTGACAGCATCTGCACGTTCGCGGCTATATAATAGCCGTGAACAAGCAGAATCCATGCGGAAGAAAGATTTCAGCATTGAGCCTAAAGCTGGCCATACACCTGTCAATTTCTTTTGTTCAACCTGCGGGCTAAACGAAAGAAATTGATGTGATTCCTCCATCAACACAAACACAGTGCCGATTGAGGAATCGCCGCTGTTTGCATTGTATTCTGACAGGTGCTGCCAGCACCTGTCAGAATACCCAATCAAAACGGGCAGCTCATTGGCTGTCGGCTCTAATTGTACGCAGATTTTCCAGCCCGCTCCTTCGATCAGCTGAATGCCGGTTGAAAGGGAGCCGACAGCCCCTCACACTGTGCGAATTTCGGTCGGTACATTCAAAACCGGACTAAATTCAGCCAGTGTATGGGCACCTTTTAGAGTGGTTGAGCTAAAATTTATTTTGCTGTATCGTGCATGCAGCGACAAATAAAGTGTCTTATCTTATATTGAATCTGATTGCATGGCTCTTTGTTCTGTTCTGTATAGTGGCTTGATGTGTATAAAATTATTATATTAAGCATTTTATTCACTCAAAGACTAAGATCATGTTTCAGACCATGTTTCATGTTACACACATACAGCATACACTGAGTGGCCAGATTATTATGACCACCTGACGTTTGTAGGCAAATTAGCTATAATTTCGTGATGAAGTTGCTAGAGGGCCAGACCATTATCAATAGGGAAGCAGGTTGTTTACCACGACAGTAGAAGTGATTTTTTTTCTGAAGATATGGGTAAACAATGCAATTTAACAGCCTTTGAACGTGGGATGATTGTTGGCGTGAGCCATGGAGCGAGTATCAGCAAAACAGCAGAATTCCTTAAATGTTCAAGAGCACCTGTTGTTAAAGTATTTAAAGACTGGCGGGGCGTGGCCGGGATGTGAGACTGAGCAGACGTGTCTCACTGCAGCTCCCGACATCCGTGCTACATCCTGACCCTTAGCTGGCTGACAAACCGGCCGAAATACTCACCCAGTACTGTCGGGTGATCCGGTGACTCCTGCCTTCTCCTTGATGCGGACCAGGAGACGATCGACCCGGTCCCGAGCGAGCGGTGGCACTCCAGGCCGGCACGCTGACACG